TAATCCAGTAGGAATAGCAAACACATCCTTGTATTCATCCAACAGTTCCTGAATTTCTGGCAACACAGTTTGAGCATTTTCATCAGTAACTACAGACAATTCTATGATGGTGTAAGCAAATTCCACAGGTGCTGCTCCTTGAATAGTTACTGTTTTTCCATGCATAGGAAAAGACATCCACTGCTGTTCCTAGTCCACAGTCATTGGGCTATGTTTAGCCAGCCAATCCATTCCCAAGATTCCATCATAGCAGCTAAGAGGCAAAATCTTGAGATCATGCTCAAACTGAACACCATTTACTAACCAATTGCACTGGGGCATAAAACTGGAACACCTCATTACTCCCCCATTAGCTACCCTTACCTTCATGTTTGGGCATGCCTGCACTCATGTCAGTGTTTTAGCTGACACAATATCCAGGAAAGAATGAGTACTGCCAGAATCCACTAGGAATGTCTTCTGTTGTCCATGGAGTGTGATATTCAGTTGGAAAGCACTACTGCGAGAGGACCTTCCTTCAGCTGCCTCAGAGATGGCCATTAAGTTGACCTCTTCATCCTCATCTGACTAAAATTCCTCTAAAGTAGTGCACTGGAAGAATTCCACCATTTCCTGTACTACATGAAGTGACACTGTTTGTTTGCACTGGTGATCACGACTCCATTTCTCTCCACATGTAAAACACAACCCCTTGGCCTTGCGGTAAGTTCTTAGAGCCTCCCATTTATCCTCCCCTGATTTCTGTTTCTGCACATCCGCATTGTTGCGTCTGTCTTCAGTGGTCTTGCTTGCAGCTGTTTTAACAGATGACGCTGCCTGTGGTACGTAATGGCGTCTGTTCGCTTGATGATATTGAGGTGCTGAACTGGTCAGTGATTCATGTAACAAGGCCAACTCATACACTGCATCCAGGTCGGGTGGCTGTTGTAGTGCCACCAACACTCTGACCGATGAGTTCAGACCATCGATGAACTTAGTGACATAATGCACCAATTCAGGCACGGCCTCATAAGCAGATAACTGGTCATAAAGTTCAGCGAATTGCTCCACATATTCTTCGACTGAACCAGTTTGTGAAGTGATGTGAAATTTGCGCACCAATGCCTGGTGTTGATTGCGCCCAAATCTGCATTGTAGCAGCCTGCAGAAATCCTCCCATGGCGCGTTCGGCGCTCGACGCTGTACTGATTCCAACCAGCGTGCTGCGGGGCCTTTGAACAGGGTCGATGCGAACTGAACCCATAGCTGCCGCGGCGTACCACTCATACTGAAATAATCTTCGCATCTCGTTTGCCAGAGCCTTGGATTGGAGTCATCGAAGCGGGGTAGATCGATGCGCGGGCCAAATCCGTAGGAGTCAGTATTATCTCGTGGTAATTCAGCCAACCTCGAACTGAGTACAGAGCTCTGATCTGGTTTCGTACCTCTGGCTGGAGGCGGAACGTAAGGAACATGGTCCTTCCCCTTGACCGTAGGAGCTTTGCGGCTGCCTTACGGAGTCGCGTCAGCGTTGTTGTTGTACACCCCTTGCTCTGCCGACGGAGGTCGTGAGGTCGGAGATGCAGACGATGCGGATGGTGGCTGCTCCAGGCCGGCGCGGAGTTCGTCCATGTCGACGCCGATCGACATCTTGAGGTCGTCGAGTCACGTCGTCAGATCCCCCACGATGAAGCGCAACGACTTCGCTGCTTTCTCATCCTGACGCTTGAAGCGGGCATCTAGAGATTCCGCCAAATCGGCCTTGAGGAACTCGTACACCGCCTTCGTCGTCGGCGACAAGCCTTCATCATCTCTCGATGGCGCCGGGCCGCAAATCTCGTCGCGTGCGGGTGGTGGAGGGGAACTGGCGGCGCCAGGATCTGTGGCTCTGATGCCAATTGTAAGCATGAGCTTGATTCTCTTGAATTTAGCTAGGGATTCGCTCAGATCTCAGCTGAGTTCATGTAATTTGAATGGAGAAGAAGGGGATTACAGCCAATGCACACACGCCATCTATCCTATCCTTCCTCGGCCGAAGCCACCAGCCACCCGTTATAGAATCAGTGCGAGGGATATATCTAAGCAGCGCTAGCGGGCCCATTCTGGGCCGCGCACCCTTGCCGGAGCCTGGACCTTCCTCCTGGGCCTGGCCTCCTCCGCGGTTGCCGGATTTCCCTGTAGTGTTTCAGAGGTTGTCACTGCTTCACCTGGGTTGCTGCTGACACTCTGCGAGGACTCCCCGGTCGTCGTGCTGTCAACGAAGCAGTACTGCAGCTTGATCGACGCGCCCTGCGGCTGCGGGAGGAGCCACGGCGCGAGGAAGCGGTTGTGCAGCTGCTGGGGGTGCGGAGGGAGGAGTCGGTGCTGCTCGGCGGCCGCGCACGGCGGGCGGTGGTGGTGCTGCTGCGGGCATGGAGGGATGAAGTAGCGCTGCTCGACGGCCGCGCACGACGGGAAAAGGTGGTGCTGCTGCTGGATCGGCGCACCCTGCGGGGGAAGGAGGTGCTGCAGGGGGCACGGAGGGAGGAGGCGGTGCTGCTCGGCGCCCGGTAGGAGGAGCTCAGCGCGCGGCTGCGACTGCGGCTGTAGTATGAGGTCGTAGAAGGATCCGAGAGAGAAGAGGTTGCGACGGTCGGTGATGTCGTCGAGCTCCAGCAGCTGGGACACACATGCGGCAATGACCACCATGGCGATCCCGTTAACAACGGCTAGCTCAAGCTCGTCCACGACCGCGATGAGCCAGGCGCGCCCACGGCCAAGGCAGCGAGTCAGGCGCGTCCACGGTTGCCGGGAGCTCGCGGTGGGCACGATGGGCAGTGGAAGCTCCGGCGCGTTCAAAGTGTTTGACGAAATGTCAAGGTCAACCTGATGGCTGTTAATTTTTGTTGTTAGTGCTGGTAATCATATGCATGTATGCAACCAAACGCCGGATGAAAATTGCATCTCGATGTCAAGGCCAACCCTGTTTTTCTTATCCAGGCCCTGCTCAGCCTGGCTCGTTTTTTCCTCTGAGCCAGACCCGACAGCGAAAACAATCAAACACGCCCTATGTTTTTAGCAAGGGATAGAGCTTCACGGCAAGCAGGCGTTTCAAGCGTGGCAGGGTCTGTCATACCATGGAGTACAAGTGCGGAGGAACCCAGATATAAGCCTGCATCATCACGACAACCTGCACTGATAGCACCTCGTTAATTGTCACTTCTCACAACTCCGTCAACATTTATCTTGGCAATTCAACTAGGTGGTGGAATCCAGGACCTTACTTGAGCAGGTTGATGTCTCCCGGCAGTAACCTCATGTTTGGCTTGCTGTGATAACTGGAGATCGGATAAAAATCTGCCAACGAATGAAAGCGAGTCTATCATGGAGAAAATCCAATTCCTTGACCGTGAATAGTAAGAGAATATTTTAACTCTTAAGCCCTGAGTATGATTTACGATTCGTCTTCACTGGCATCATCAAGCTTTGGCACTAACGTTGGGCTCAAACCAAGCCACGCACTGATATTGACGACTAGCAACGTATGGAAATCAATAATTTCACACCAGAACTGGTTTGAAATGGTCAAAATCACGTGCCACCAAGCTTCAGTGTCGAGCAAGAATTATGACCAAGAAGTCTTGATTGCCGCATCTGCAGACACGGACGAAACAACTTGGCAAATGCCAACAAATTAGACGAGTCAGCGATCTCGCTTACCATCGATCTGTCACCGCATTCCTGCAGTGGCAATTTCGTTCCTTCCAGGTTACCACCCAGTAAATTACATTTCTTTCGCAGGGACACCATATCTTGTGTAATCATTTTGTAAAAATCACTGATCGGCGAATCTGACACTGTCAAGTGAGATTATGACAGATGGGGCCCGCCAGTCAGACTGGCGTGGCACCACTTAACATCTCACATGTAACGGAGACGTGTGGTAACGTTATCATCATGTGTTGTCTTGTGGGGTCCACCTATCATTGGAAAAGAAAAAAGAAACAAAATATGCTTAATCCTATCTTCTCCACCCAGCCGCAAATCTGGTCCAACCGCTGCCCGCCCCGTCCCTGCCGGAGGCAAGGGTCGCCGTCGTCGTTGCCACGCCCAGGTCGACGTAGAGGCCACTGTTGTCGCGCCTAGGTCGATGCAGGAGGCCGCCGCCAGTCCCGACCCAGGCCGACGCAGAGGCCCGACCGCCGTCGTCGTTGCTGCACCAAGGGCGAGGCAGAGAGCGCTGCCCGTCCCGACCCCGCCCCTGGCCGAGGAGCAGCCTTCCTCCTTGCTGGAGCTCCCCAACCGCCCGCCGCCGCACCTTCTCAACACCGGGAATCACCTCCCCGATGTCCAATCCATCCAGATCCAGTTGGGATCGGGGCATCCCCGCCGATTCCACACCCAAACCCCGTACTCGGCCCCTGCCCACAGCTGGCGAAGTTGCGGCTCGCACGCGAGCGTCCGCAGGAAGGAGTGTCTTCCACGGCTGGTGGGACTGTACCTCGAGCGTCGGTGGGCGGCCGGGGTGCATGACCGCACCTCGAGCGTCCGCAAGAAGATGACATCACCCCCGCCCCCGCCCCGCATCGACGAAGTCTGACAGCACACCCCTGCCACCCGCGCCCCTCCCGGACGTCGTCACGGGCCGCTCCAGCGTCAACGGAGAACGCCTCCACCGGAGACCGCACCCCGAACTTCGGCGGCGCATCCATGCATCTGCTCGGTAAAACGATGGAGAGTGGGTGGTTTGAGAGAAGGGGAGTGTCTCACTGACAAGCAGGTCCCACATCCATCAAGACGATTTGATGTCGCGGTGTGAGAGATTGGTGCCACTTAGCTTGACTAGTGGGACTCACCTGTCATAAACTCACTTAACAGAACCATATCCGCCGATCAATAGTTTTCACGAAACAATTAACCAGACGTGTGTTTTCTGCAACAAAAATATAGCTTAATGTTTTCTGCTAACCTAGCCTTTAAAATGATGGTTCCTTGCAATTTACTCGTTTACCACCGGTCCGCCACAACATTCCGTGACATGAATGCGGTACTTCTGCCAGCCATCGGTATTTAGAACTTGGGAAAAAATCCACCGACTCCACGGTAACATTCCCGTGCTTCCTTCCATATTCAGCCGGCGCAAGATCATCATGAACCAGAGCCACCGCCGACTCTTCCTCCCATTGCTGTCCGTGCTGCTTCTGACAGCCTCCGCCGTCGTCGCCGACAGCTCGTCGACGTTGACACGGCAGGGGGCCATCGGCGGCGAACGGAGGCTGGTCTCGCCCGGCGGCGTCTTCCAGCTCGGCCTCTTCCCCGTCGCCAACGGCACCAAGTGGTTCCTCGGCATATGGTTCACCGTCTCCCCGCCCGCCGTCGTCTGGGTCGCGAACCGCGACCGCCCGCTCGACGCCCTGTCCTCCGGCATGGTCACGCTCAGCGGCGGAGGAGACCTCGTGCTCCTCTACACCGCGAGGGATAACGTGACCGTCTGGTCGTCCAACTCGTCGGCCGCGGCGCCTGCTGCGGTCGCGCAGCTCCACGACAACGGCAACCTGATGCTCACGAGCGAGGCCGGCGCCGTGGTGTGGCAGAGCTTCGAGCACCCCACCAACACGTTCATCTCCGAGATGCGGACCGGGAGGGACCTCAGGACCGGCGCCGTGTGGTCCCTCTCGTCGTGGCGCGACGCCGACGACCCGTCCGCCGGCGACTTCCGCTACGACATGGACACGAGCGGCTCCCCGGAGCTGCACATCTGGAGGGAGGGGCGCAAGACGTACCGGACGGGGCCCTGGAACGGCGTGCGGTTCAGCGGCATACCGGAGATGACCACCTTCGAGGACATGTTCGAGTTCCGGTTCACCGACACCGCCGACGAGGTCTCCTACGGGTACCGCGACCGCGTCGGCTCGCCGCCGTCCCGCGTGGTCCTGAACGAGTCCGGCGTGATGCAGCGCATGGTCTGGGACCGCGCCACGGGCGCCTGGAACACCTTCTGGTCGGGGCCGAGGGACCAGTGCGACAGCTACGGCCTGTGCGGCGCGTTCGGCGTGTGCAACGTGGTGGACGCCATCGTGTGCAGCTGTGTCCACGGGTTCCAGCAGAGGTCGCCGGCGGAGTGGCGCATGCGGGACGCGTCCGGCGGGTGCGCCCGAAGAACGCCGCTACGGTGCGGCGACGACAGCGACGGGTTCTACGCTCTGCGCGGCGTGAAGCTGCCGGAGACGCACGGCAGCAGCGTGGACGCCGGTGCCTCGCTCGAGGAGTGCGGCCGGAGGTGCCTGTCCAACTGCAATTGCACGGCGTACGCCGCGTCGGACATCCGTGGAGGCGGGGCCGGCACCGGGTGCATACAGTGGTTCGTCGACCTGATGGACACGCGGTTCGTCGACGGTGGGCAGGATCTCTTCGTGAGGCTGGCATTGTCTGACCTAGGTAAGTACATATGCAATTCTCTCTTATTCAAAGCACCCAGTTGCATGTAGTACGTATGAAACAAAGCCTGTTCCCTTTGCTTGACTTCAACCACCGATTAGGCATAAATTAATTCATGTCGGAACCTCCCGGCTGAATTCAGTCAATGCAGAGAATGATACTATTTCCAATCACTAGTACCCCGTACGTGATCCAAATGATATAGTATTAATTTACGGAGGGACTATGTAGCATCAAACTATAGTAGAGTATTGTGTGCAAGGACCTTGTCAAACCGCCTACCAGGACAAACATGTCAAGCTCAAACATTTATGATGGATGCACCTTGCTAACACACTGGGCTTGAGGAGTGCGGCTTTCGTGCATTTAACTCGACGCTGACATTCTTCAGAGAACACCAAGACCAAGAAGTTCCCCGCGGTCATCGCCACGGTGATAACAGGGTTTGCATTGCTTGCGCTATTGATCGGCTTCCTGATCTGGAGAAGGATCCGGCGCAGCAAAGAAGGTCAGAGTCCTTGGTGCTGCGTTTTCAGAGGATAATCTGAATCTGAAACTGCTGCTTGCTTGCTGCCCTATCCTATTGCTCATGTCAGCTGGCTTCCTGCCTTGTCCGTTTTGCAGCCACCATGTTCGATGACATCTTGAGAGGCGAATGTCCGACGTACCATCTCGAGGTCATTAGAGCCGCCACCGGTGGGTTCTGCCCCAAAAACGAGATCGGCCGTGGTGGCTTCGGCATTGTTTACAAGGTGATACTTCTTTACACATTGCAATACTACATAGAGTCCATGTAAATCAGGAATGAAATTTCCTGTTGCCGTACAAACAACAGCTGGATAGTAGCAGTACTACTCTTCCTTGTAGTACCAATCAGGGCAGAAATTTCGTAATGGTCAGTTAGTCAGGACCGAAATCTGACCAACTGGATTTATCAGGGGGAAATGCCAGACGGCCAGGAAGTTGCAGTGAAGAAGCTGTCGACCGAGAATAGAGTGCAAGGACTGAAAGAGTTCAAGAACGAGGTGGCCCTGATCGCAAAGCTGCAGCACCGCAACCTCGTACGCCTGCTCGGCTGCTGCATCCACTGCTCTGAGAGGATACTGGTCTACGAGTACATGAGCAACAAGAGCCTGGACACCTTCATTTTTGGTTAGTACATGTCACTCATCCTCACTGCGGCAAAACAGTTGTGACCATTTCTGCACAGAAATTTAATTCTGTGAATTCGCCAACAGATCCAAGGAGGCACGCCACGTTAAGTTGGAAGAAAAGGATGGACATCATCCTAGGCATTGCTAGAGGGCTGCTCTACCTTCACCAGGACTCGAGGCACACGATGATCCACCGAGACCTCAAGGCGGCAAACGTTCTCCTTGACGAGGACATGGTGGCCAAGATATCGGATTTCGGAATCGCCAAGTTGTTCAGCAGCATCGGCGACAGTCAAGACTCGACCGTCATAGAAAGGATTGTTGGAACATAGTAAGAACTGCAACTTTTGCATATAACACTACAACGTTCAAGTACTATAGTTTCTTTGTTTCTTTACTAGTGTACCCTCGCCAGATTTTGGACCGATTTTCTGATTGTTGTTTTTTTGTATGGCGTGCTGGCAGCGGCTACATGTCACCGGAGTACGCAATGGACGGCTTGGTATCGTTCATGCAGGACGTTTACAGCCTCGGAGTGTTGTTGCTGGAGATCGTCAGCGGCAGGAGGAACCAACGAAGTTTCAACCTCATAGCTCATGTAAGCAATCAATTACCTCTTGTAGCCCAATACAAAATAATCAAAACATTTTTTTACTAAAGCATATCTAGATGTGCCCTAAGTTTTTTTAGAAAAGGAGGAATGCCCCCTGCCTCTGCATCTGGACGATGTATACGGCCCTTTTATTAATTATTAACAGATGTGCCTTAAGTATTGCACATTTAACTTCTATGTCACTAATTTTATACCGGGATTCTTACGGGATTTTTTTTCATTTGTATGCTTGATTGAATAATTTAGATATGCAATAAGAAGGGCACATCCAGACCATTTTTTAAAAATTTATTTGAACCAAGAAAGTTCGTGCCTACACAGCCAAGTCCTAACCCCTTTTGTTTGAACCAAAAAACTCACCCTGATGGAACCATACTGAATTCCACGGTGACCATGACAAACAGAATATGTTTTTTGCAGGCATGGAAGCTATTTGAAGAGAACAAGAGCCTCGAGCTCCTTGACCCAGCCGTGCACGATGGCTGCTCCCTGGCGGAGCTAGAGCAGGCCGTGACGTGCATCCAGGTAGGGCTACTGTGTGTTCAGGAGAGCCCAAGCCAACGACCGAAAATGGCTGTTGTAATCCCCATGTTGTCGCACCAACAGGCGCCAAGGCGGCCACTTCGGCCGGTGGTCTGCACTCTAGTGAGCACTCCGGTGGACCTTCTCGACGTGTTGGACGACACGTCCAGCAATGTCGAGCTGACCATCACGAACATCGAAGGCAGGTAGCAAGGATGCATGGATGAAGGGATGGTAGACAAGCCGGAGGTAGAACCGAAGATTGAAGACGTTACTCACGACTAATTGATAGACATGTGTATACCTCTTAATAGACACATCTATTTAAATCAAGGAGACTGATAACATATTCAACATCCCACAAAACTTTAACTGAACTGCATTTGCATGTGTGCAGATGTTAGGCAAAGATTTAAAATATGGTGGATCAATGATTGAGTCTCACGATCTCTTACTACTAGGGAAAACCTTATACACAGCATCTTAGCAGTAGCGCTGGACAAAATCATGCGCTACTGCTACTTAGTAGCAGCGCGTGTAAATAAACCGCGCTACTGCTATAACTTTATCAGTAGCGTGTACTAGCAAAAAGCGCTGCTGGTATGTTTGAACTGGGCGCACATAGCTAGCCCAACTTAGCAGTAGCGCGTATCCTCGTCCAGCACTACTGCTATTCTCCTTAGCTGTAGCGCTTTTCTCGAACCCGCGCTACTACTAACCCTACATTATCCTCCCCACGCGGCCGACCCTCTCTCACTCCCTCTCCCTCTCAGTCACTCTCGCCCGCGCAGATAACCGTCGTCCGCCCGCCAGCGAGGTACTCCCTCCTCCTCCCACCGCGCCCTCCTCCCTCCTCCTCCCACCACCCCTCCTCCGTCCTCCTCCGACCGCCCCTCCTCCATCCTCCCTCCTCCGCCGACAGCCCTCC